TTATCTTATAATCACTTAATTATTCTACTAATTATTAATTATTATTTACACTATTAATTATATATTTAATAATTTCTATATCAAATTATATTAAATGAGAAATTATATTAATTTTTAATTACTAATTATTTATTAATTATATTATATTTTTGATTAATTTTAATTAAATTAGTTGAAGTAAATTAATTAATTCATACGATAATATTGTCTCTCAGCTGGCTTCTCATTAGCTATAGTACTAGGGTTTGCCTTGCCTCTACTATAGCCTATTCGCCTCCTTCGGCGGGCAACGTTCCTTTGCCGTTCTTCTATCGGATCGGAGCTCGCTCGCAAGGTAACCTTTTTCTCCCTTTCGCTCACAGTTACAAGTTCTTCATCGTCGCCGTTCGACTTTGCTCCTTCGACGACATTACCTTCCTGTTGGATCGGAAGTTACGACAGGTTTTTGATCTGAAGCAACAACTGGAGCTCGCTTGCTGTGAAGGTAACTTTCTCCCTTTCGCGCGCTTCTTCGGCCAAATCCCGTAAATCCGCCGAATCGGTGGATTTGCGAAATCCGGGATTTACCGCAAGAAGTGCTCTTTTTCCGTCAACCGCGGATTCCATTTACCGTGAGATTTGGATTTGCATTTTAGGCCGTTTGGCTGGATTTCGCCCAAATCCGGCCTTAAATCCGGCTAAATCCGCATACCAAACAGCCCTTGGGCATTGTACTTCTTCATTTGGAAGGAGAAGAAGGTATGTGAGATTGAAATAGAGAAATATTTCTTTCTCTTGCATTCACTTTACCTAGAAAGATTATCCTCTTGTTGTTTGACCGGATCTTGCATGGATCATCCGTGATTCTTGCGTGTGTTTGCTGTTGGATTGAAACGCATGTCTATTTCTAGTTGCTGTTAGATGAAGTTTATTAGGCAATGATATTTTGTAAGGTTTAAAAATTGGCTTCTTCTTTATTTTCCAAATTTTTTGTTCTACCTTGCCAATCAGGGAATAAAATATCACGAAGTAGATGCTATGTTTTATATTTTCTCCTTTGTTTCCTGTACAAATTTCATGTAGACCACAAATGTCTTTGATTGTCTAAAGTTAGGCACACCCTAAACAAATTTTCTAGCCCGGCCACTTAATATGAGTTATATATCTCAGTCTTCTATCTTAACACATAATATGCATTCGGAAGTAGATCCATCAAGAGATCATTTTAGTGAAATTAAAAGCTCTGATGAAAAAAAAAAAATATTAGTGTCTGTATTGCTGTATAATATACCAAGGTGGAGGTAGAAACTACATCTTGGTTTAAGGGAAATATTGTTCCCCATAAGAAAGTTTCAAATGATATTTGTTACTAAATACAAGAAAATTTAAAGGAAACAATTTTAAAAAAGCAAGAAGCATAATTAGAAAGAGAGAATGTGCAACCATATGATGATTAGAAGGTTGAAGATGAGAGAGTTTCTTCTCGTACAAAAAATACATAGTTCAACAATACACACCAAAGTATTAGATAAAGGGAAAAAGCAAAGTTAACGAGATTGAAAATTATTTTGCTCCTAAAACCAAGCTAGGATCACAACCATCTTTAAAATCTATGTTGACATCTAAAAAGTTGTGCATTGTGTTGACGTGGCACTTGTAAGGTGGTTTTTTATAGTTGTACACCCATGTATGTATTAAATTCATCTTTGGCATATAAACCATTGATATGATAATTATTTTTGGGCTTGGATATAAACCTTCCTATTATTAAAGAACAAGATTTAATTTTCTAAGAGATATAAGGAAGAATGTAAGCTATTAGTTTAGAGTTACAATCATAGTTGAAAAAAAAAAACAGGCTACACCTTGATTTATGATGGTCAGAGAAATAACATAAATGAAACTTTGATTAACTTCCCACTCCTTTTTTTAAAAAATGGTTTTGTCAGTTCCAAAGTTTTGTATATACTTCTAATATCACGAAGAATGCTGATACTTTATGTTTATTGTTTACTAAAGTGTTTGAGTGGGTTGGTCCAAAAAAATATTGTTAAGCTATTTACTAATAATGCTGCAAACTATAAAAAGGCATTAGAGTTATTGCATTAAATGTATGGTAAACATCTATTGGTCACCTTGTGCAGTACATTGCTTGAATATTATTTTAAAAAGCATTGGTACCATTTCACATATTGTTGATCTTGCCAAAAGTAGTTCTATCTTTCTATCGTGGTCAAGGACAAGACTTGGTTTGAAAGACCGAAAGAGATTGTGTGGCCACAAGCCACATGACATGTAATAACTTTTATTACTTAAAAAAATTTAGTGATCATAAGTGTGATTTGCAATCAATGGTAACTAGCAAATACTTAATTGATTCAAAAATTTTCAAACACAATGAAAGGGTAAGAGGCGTCTTTTATAATTTTGAACTCTAAGTTCTAGATTGATTTCTTGATAAAGTCAAAATTAGTAAGCCCGCTCATAAGATTATCACAAGTGGTTGACTTTGATGAGAAGCTATCACTCGATTGTCTTTATGATGGAATATATACAACAAGGAAGACATCTAAATTCTTGTTCAAAAGTACAAAAAATATTGTATAAGTCAACTTCATTAAGTATTCACTCTACTATATATTTCTTTAACCCTCATTTTCAATATAATCAAGAAAACTAATACCATATACTTGAGGTCATGAAAGGATTGGTGTGAGTCATTAATAATAAAGATATATATAATAAACCTAAAGTTACAATGAATGCAGTGAGAATTTATCAAGATATCTTCGAAAGCATTGGGAGGCCAATTGCTCTTCCAATGTCTAAGTAAATGTAATCTAATAAGTTCTTTATTACATAATTTATTGCATTTATGATTTTTATAGTAATTAAATAACATATTATTTTATGATATATAGATAAATGGCGGATGATATTTGACTCTAGTGCCCCAAAAGTGCAAAATTTTGTTGTTCAGTTCCTTAGTCAAACTTCTTTTTATAGTTATAAGAGAAACTAGAGTTTTTTTAAACAAATTCATACTAAGATAGGAAATTATTTAGAGCATTAAAAGCTGAAGGATCTTATGTATGTTTGATATAACTTAAATTTGAGGAATATTTATGCTCTTTATCAATAAATCACATGATAAACAATTTGTGTAGTATGCATTTCTCATGTTTAGATATGCTGATAATTCACACTAAAATAAACTTATATTTACTTTATAGGTCACACCTTAAGAAAAAGAAGTTATGATCCATTGGACTATACAAGCATTGAGACGATAGACATTAGGATAGCTAATGAAGAACATACTTTTGAATTTTATTATGTTGATATAAAGAATGAAATTTGTTGAGAGGATGTTATTTTATCTTCTGAAGAGGCCAGTATGACATCCAATATGCAAGCTTGGCTTAAGTTTCCTATTTTCTTATAATACATAAATTTATTGTTATAGTAATAACTTAATTTAGATGCCATGTTTATACATGAAGGTGGCTTCCGTTGTCACGCCCCAAGATCTATAGTGAAAAAATTTCTTTTTCTTTTTTCTTATCAATCTTATTATCTTGTCAATTTGTTCTATTCATTTATCAATTAGATCAATCTCAACATGCATAGTTGATTAATTGGATTAAAGAAAAGCAATAAACAATGGAAAATATCATTCATATTTCTACAGTCTAGAATTACATCATATTGATATAGTTTAAACAATATATACAATAGTCATACTGGTCACAAAATAAGAAAAAATAAAAGAACTGAAATAAAACTACTCTAATACAATTGCATACATAGTCTTAAACTGTACTCCTTGGTTGAAATCATTTAAACCACGCAATGAGCGAATAATCCAATAAGAAATCAAAATCTTATAACTAAAATTAATGTAATAAAAAGAGAAAGTCTCTTGCAAATCATGCAAAGAAATCTATACATCTATATCTATATTGATTATCCATATCAATGCTCAGTTTATTATACATTACATCTTAGTTTATGATATCTTCAGTAACAATATCAATAATAGTGATCTGTATTAGTAATAGTGAACAATCTCAATAACAATAACAGTATTAACAGTAACGGTACCGTCACAATGGTCGGTATAATCAGTAACATTAATGAGTAATTGATAACAATAATCAAGATCAATAATCATTAATCAGTATCAACATAGTGTTTATAAAATCAGAATGTATCGTAAGAGTATTTTTCTCCTACACTTATAACTCCCTATCTATCGTCTCCTATAACTCGTAACAGTCTTCAACCCCTTATAACTCCCAATCGATCAATCATATAAATATTAAGATATATGTAATATATATCAATAATGGTTGCACTCTTATTATTAGGGTATCAATACCGACAACACTACTAGTAATATATCAATGCTGGCAATACTCAATCATTGGTGTATCAATACTGATATCACCATGAATAATATATCAATGCTGACGGTACTCTGATCTTGTATCAGATATCATCAATATTATATGTACTATTATCTTTGAAGTATCAGTACGATCATCCATAATCTTATCTTTATCATTTCAATACATCATTTTCATACATATTAATTATTTCAGCTATTTCATCACATATCACATTTTAGTATTATCATATCAAATCACATTACGCTTTTTTCCCTATTAATTTCACCCACCCAAAGATTACTATTCACACATTTAACTAGTGAAAATGAAATTAAATCATATCAAGTAGTTCAGAATGATTAAATCTATAATATATCAAGTTACATAGTGAAAGCTTATAAAATCAAGAGATTATGTATTTTTAGTTGATTTAGGATAGAAATCCGTAAAAAGTAAAATCGTGTGACAATGAAATAATTACATCTCCTTCTTCTTTCTTGCTATTCTCTGTTTTCCATTTCTTCCTGCATTGCATTTGTCTTGTTCTCGGTTTCTTCATTACTCGGCATCCTTTAAAGATTTTGTTTTTCCTCACGTACTCGGCATCCAGTGAAGAGATGGTTTACCTCTTAGACCAGTAGCTGATTGTCTTCTACGTCCTCACCCTCAAGCTTAAGGAAACCATCGAGGCTAATCTCAGCATACCCAATGCAAAGCCGATAACCAGGCCTATTCCCCTCGGCTTGTACAAGTACAATCCCGTGTTCAAACCTCTTCTCACGTCTCAGCCGCTGCCACCGCCTCCTCCTCCGCCGCCGCCGCCATCGCCTCCTCCACTGCCGCCTCCTCCGTCGCCATTGCCTCCGTTTGACTCCCCAAGGATCATCTCGATATTCCTCGAAAAGATCGACCAGGCCCGACAAGACGAGGCTTGCTCCACCTGGGATACCCAATCCATCTATCGCGTCCCCAAATGCCTCCGTGACATTGATCAGACCGCCTACACCCCTAAGATCGTCTCCCTCGGCCCCTACCACCTCAGACGCTACCGCTTCCGCACCATGGATCGCCACAAATGGCGCTCCCTTCACCTCGTTCTCGATCGAACTGGCCACGACGTCCGCCTTTACTGCGACGTCGCCCGCTCCCTCGAAGACCGTGCCCGCTTCTGCTACGATGCTCCCATCTCCATGTCCTCCGACGACTTCGTTGAAACCCTCTTCCTCGAATCCATATTCGCCCTCGAGCTCTTCCGCGGCGTCCTCGAGGGCTTCAAAGATCTCGGCTACTCCCACAATGACCCCGTCTTCGCCTTCAGCAGCATCAAGTACTCGCTCCAACGCGACATGATAATGCTCGAGAATCATC